TGATTAGGTCCTTTCATTTTTCTATAAATTTTACTATTGACTTGTTAGTTTATACAAAAATTTCCTCTGGGTATTTTGTTTGGGATTACATTGAATGTATAGATATATTTAGAGAGAATTGATATTTTTAGCAATCTGGAGGTGTTGAGTAAGTGAACAATAGATTCTCTCTCCATTTATTTAGGTCTTTAATTTTTCTCAGCAATGTTTTGTAGTCTTCAGTGTATAGGATTTTTACATATTTTGTTAAATTTTTTTCTAAGTATTTTACGTTTGGGGATACTATTATTACTGGTATTTTCTTTTTAGTTCACTTTCCTGGTCTTCATTACTAGACTATAAAAATATAGTGGATTTCTGGGCCGGCCTTGGGAAGCGCGGCAGCGCTCCCGCCGAGGGTTCGGATCCCACATATGGACCGGTTCCCGCTCACTGGCTGAGTGAGGAGCGGGGGCAACGCCAAGGGTTGCGATCCTGTTGCCGGTCCCAGTCCGGTACGGGCGCGACACTGAGGGTTGCGATCCGTTGCCGGTCACGAAAAAAGACAAAAAGACAAAAAAAAAAATATATATAGTGGATTTCTATATATTGACCATGTATCCTGTGGTGTTTCTAAACTCACTTGTTAGCTCTAGTAGCTTTTTTATAGGTTCCTTAGAGTTTTCTACATTCATGACTATGTCATCTGTAAATAAAATAGGTCATGTGTGTATTATATAGTTCTTTTATATTTCTTTTCGTTATTTTACCACATAGGCTAGGAACTTCGGTTCAATGCTAAATAGAAGTGTCTAGTTCTATTTCATCTTTTTCTTGTTCCCAATTTTAGGAGGGAAGCATTCAGTCTTTCACTATCTCTTCCTATCTTTCTCTTTCTACCTCCCTTTTATTTATCCAGGACCAGTCAAATAAATTCTTATGTCCAATATTGTACCTAGGTTCTAATACTACTTTTAATGATGATGATGATGATGATGATATAACAATAAACTATAATGTAGTTTAAAATACATAAGGAATTATGTTAAGCAATTTACATGTATTATGTCATTTAAAAGTCACAACAACCTTAATTGGTAGTTATTGTGTTTGTTTTATAGGTAAAGATATTGGGGACAAAGAGAAAGTAACTTGCCAAAAGTCAGATATATTAAGTCATAGAACTTTCCTTATGTGATAAATATGTATATAAATAACTGTATTATAAGGCAGAAAATTAATACAACAAGGAATGTATAGACATAGTGTTGTGGGACTTCCGATGAAGAAAAGATCCTTGAGATGGACTTAAATGTCTGTTTGGAGAGATAATTGATCAGATTCTATTTAGAAAGCTTCTCTAGGACTATATTAACAGTAAAGAGCATGCATTTTTGTTGTTAGTAATAGTTCTCATGATAACTAAATGCATAATAAACTAATGAAGAAAGAGAGTGTGCCAAGGAAATGTTTTCTAGCAGTTCTAGCATGTAATAAAGATGAGAAAAGATTAATATATAATGGTAACTGTGGAGGTAAATGTCACACAAATACTTAGATATCACAGAGAATTACCAGAGAGATTGTACATGAGGATAGAGACAAAAGCCACATATTCTAAAAGACCGCCTCAAAGTTTTGAGCCTAATGATATATTAGGAGGTATGGTTTTTGAAGAACAAGAGAGTGTCACTTGAGGTGCTTTTTCAAATCACATTTGTGACAATTACCAAAGTTCTACTCTCCACCCCAATACACACATGCATGCTCTCACAAACAAACACACAAGCATAGGAAAATGTTGGTAGACAGTTTTGTTTTCCTTAACTATCCAAGTGATTCTGATTTCAGCAATTCTGTTCTTTTAGTTATTGATCTGCTACTTCCAAGAAAGGAGGAAGTCTCGGATTTATAGGAAATATGGTAAAAATGAACTTTCTCACATGTTCATTGTGAAGTTCTGTTGGACAGTTTCTACTGAGATTTCCAGAAGGAGTTGGAAATATGAGATACTGGAGAAGGCAGGTCTCTAAGAAGATGTATATTTGCAGTTATTTCTGTAGAAATGTCAGCTAAAGCTATGTTATTACATTGCAGCAATTTTTAAACAAAAATTATTCCTTCCTTATTTCTCTCTTTTCTTCACTCTTTCCCTTCTTTTATTTCACACACAGTTAGGTGCCTAATATATGCTTAGGATATATGGTGGTGAACAAAATCCTACAGAGTTTCCACATTTTCAGGGCTTTCAGTCTAATTAAGCAAATGATTACACAAATAAAAAATAAATGCTGTTTTAATATTTAATCAGGGAAATTTTAACATGGCATTTCCCTAGCTTAAAAAAACATTGTTTTTCTAAAATTATAGGCTGCTTAAAACTCAGAGTATATTTTCCCACAAAAGCAGTAATATAAGGAGTTCTCATACCATCCCATGAACTCCTATTTAATCTAAATATTGCTAAATATCTCCTTGTAAGTTTTAGTGGAAAACTTCCCTTTGTTCTTGTTACAACAGCTTTGTCAACACATTACAAGTTCCCATATTTCTCCATTTCCCTGTTTCCTCTAAGATGACAGCTTCTTCTCACTTTTAGAAAAAAATTGAAATAGGGGCCGACCCCATGGCGCACTCAGGAGAGTGCGGCACTGGGAGCCTAGCGACGCTCCCGCCGCGGGTTCGGATCCTATAGAGGATCCCTTTGTTCTTGTTACAACAGCTTTGTCAACACATTACAAGTTCCCATATTTCTCCATTTTCCTGTTTCCTCTAAGATGACAGCTTCTTCTCACTTTTAGAAAAAAATTGAAATAGGGGCCGACCCCATGGCGCACTCAGGAGAGTGCAGCACTGGGAGCCTAGCGACGCTCCCGCCGCGGGTTCGGATCCTATATAGGAATGGCCGGTGCGCTCACTGGCTGAGCACGGTGCGGATGACACCAAGCCAAGGGTTGCGATCCCCTTACCGGTCACGAAAAAAGACAAAAAAAAAAAAAAAATTGAAATAGTTTTTCTTGGGAGAGACATTGGCTATCCTATATCAAATGGTCTTTTAGATTTCTTTTGTTATTCTGTAATAGAGCCTTCCACATTTTAAATTGTGCATTTTGTGTGTTTTAAATTTTTCAATTAAATTTTTGCTTAAAATTAGCTATGGAGACTTTATAATAAAGATGTTTTCCTGGTTGAATTGTAAAAATATCATTTTTTATTGAGGTATCTATAGGAGGCCTTCTACTTATAAAAAGATGGGATTCTAAAGCTTTAGAAATTGGGCTTTTGAAATTCACAACAGATTTTTCAGTAGAAGCAATATGAAATCAGGCTTATCTATAGCAGACTGGCCCATAATATAAATTGTAATCAATCCAAAGGGAATTGCAATTAAATTGATATGGTAAAAACATGTATTTCTTTTACATGCAGGTAGTTGTGAAAAACCTAATAAGAGACTTGCAGAAATTCTGAATGGATACTTTCAAGAGCTTTTAACATTGGTGATACTATATCTGTCATACTTAGTTTGATTTTTAAAATATCAAACAAAACAAGAACTTCTTTTGAATATCTTTCTTCAGATTTCTTTACAGTCATATCTGTACATTCTAAGAAAATTGGCATTGAGATCAACAATTGGATTCCCTTCTCTTTGGAAAAGTCAGCATACTAGCACTATTCTAAATGTAATTTTTAAAAAAAATAATGCATTTACTACTTTTAAAAAGCATCAGTGGTAAAATATTACTACAGCACAATAAAATATATATTTTACACCATACCTTAATATGTCCATTTTAAAGTTGTATATTCTGTAATTTAAATAGTATAAACTAAAACTCATATATAAAAATTGATCATCTATAGGCAGTTTCCATTTTATAAATAGGACTTATACATGATAAAGGTTAGCCACAGCAGTCATTTAATTTATTCCATTCTCAAAATAATATACACTTATATTAATGATTTATTCTATTTTTTATTATAAGAATCTAATATTTTAGCTGCATTAGGAGTTTAATACTTTTCCAACTAGCCAATAGGAGCTTATTAGCATTTTGCAAAGAAAAAGGTGGGAGAAGGGGTCGGAAGAGAAGTTTCACAAGTGAAATGACTATAAAACCATCAAGATCATGTCTGTGCACTCCTTTTTCCTTTCTCTCCTTTCGTCAGTGCCACTGAGGTACCTAAGGTTGAGAACAGTTGGAGTAAGGAAGCTGGGGAATATGGGAAAAAGCTAAGCAAACTAGTTGAGGAATAAGTATATTGTGTGTGTGTGTGTGTAGGAGGCAGGGAGTAGAGGCAATTAGATTCCTACTCCATTCCCCCAGTTCATACATTTCTGAAAATACCCCATCAAAGTTGAAAGCTTGCATCTTTATCATTAACATGGCTACTCTGTAAGCAGCAAGAACTTTGGCCTAGAGAGTACTTTTTCTCAGTTGTGCAGTCCTGCCCATGGTTGCTGGCTGGTAGCAACAGGGACAGGTCTCCTTTGGGTGTTCTAAAAGGAGTTTATATAGAAGTAGATTGTTGTTTGGGTATTTGTAAGTTTGGTATTTTAATTTATGAAATTGGGAGTGATCAAATATAAAATTTTGATATAAAATTTCTATAAAATATAGAACTCCAAATAGAAATTCTAGAGACCAAAATATCAGAAGATTATATCAGAAAATATTCAGCATTTCAGTCTGAAATGTCTATATTCTGACTATTATAAGCCTTTAATTTTATTCTAAATGTATCATGCTTTTAATGCTGATAATTAAAACCAATAAGAAGAAAAAAACCACATATATAACTTATGACAATATTTTACAAGCCCAGCCCATCAGTCACATATGTTATTTTATTAAATCACCCAATTATTGGCAGAGTTAAACTGTACTTTCAAGTGTATGTTTTCTGATTTCCAAGCAATAATAAGAAGCATAGTTTCAAGTGTATTGTAGCATTAAAGGTGATTTAATAATCAATTTGTTTTCACTTCAACTCTTTCCTTGCTGTTTGTCTAGGAGATAGTGATCCTAGAAGAATGTCAACTTCCAAAAGACATTTTGAAAAAACAAATACAATTTGCAGATCAAGCAGCTTCGTTAAATACTACAGGGAATCCTCAGGTTCCCCAAGAGAGTCAAGATTCTTTACCAGAACAAGATTTTGAAATGTCACCAAGCAGTCCTACACTACTTCTTCGAAACATAGAAAAACAGGTAAAGTCAAGTCAGAGTAGGATGTCAGTGGTATGAAATGGGTTTTCATGAATTTTATAAACTATTCAAATAAACATCATTATATGTGAGTCTTCCTGGAATACAGGTTATTAAAATTGGCATTTGACATTAAATACAAGTAAAATATTTGGTATTTGACTGGTCTTTATTATAATATTGATTTAATTAAAATTATTTAAGTGTAATACCTAAAGTATTGGTACACAGCCTTAGGTTGATAATTCATTTATACTATGGTTGAAAAATACTTTCTCTAACAAAAATGCTCATTATTAGACTTTTTTCAGGGGAAAAAAACAGTGGTACCAGTTAATACATCCAGATGGTTGCTTGACTAAATTTGTTGATTGAGATATTTAGTGAAAGGTAATATTGGAATATGGGTTTTTTCATAAAAAATGATCATGTAAATGCTAGGTCAGTGAAACCCCTAACAAATTGTTTTGATTCCAAAGCCTTTTCTGGTATCTAAATTCTATTGTGGATGACTCCAGAAATTTAATTATTCTGTACTACCTATCCTATTCTATCCTTTGAAATCAAATCATTTATTTTGATTTAGACTTTGGTGGCTTTTGAAGAAACCTGGCTTTCTAGGAGTTAGTTATATAATGACTAGACTTAATCTTCTAGGGCATATCCAGTCTTGACTACGGCTACCTGGTTACATTGTCCCACTGGGAAATGATATAGATTTATGCCTGTTTGCATCTAATTTTCCTGGGCTTTTCCGAAATACACTGTGAAATAATTCAGTATCAAGTTACTGTATTATTCATGGTAAACCAAAATGTAGTGTAACTTCTCCCACCCCATATTTGTTAAATTTACAATTGCCTACTATAGTGTTCCTTAATTGTAATGTATAACCAAAACACTTTCATGAATATTTTGTAATTCAGAAAGTTTTTTTGTCATTATCTTATGTTAAATAGGAATGCACTTTACATATAAGCGATGTTTTTAGTTAATGTAGGCTATATTTTCATATTCCCATTTCCCTCTTTCTTTTCCCTCCCTTCATCTTGTAGGGTGAATCCCCTTTCAGTTTGACCCTACTTGTTCACACTCAGAATGATTTATTTGCTTGCTCAGTCAAATCTGCTTTTCCCCCCTAGGTCACTACTTATTCATGGAAAGTAAGATGATAATTAATTCTTAACACTTGTACAGTATAATTTCAGAGGGATTTTTCATTTTTAAAAGAGATTTCTTGTACTTTTTTTCTCTCTCCTTGGTATTGCCGATTTGGTTGGACCTGAAATAACATCAGAATTGGCTAATTTGCGGAACCCAGTACAAAATGAAATTGCAGAGCCCTTTGTTAAAAAAAAAAAAATTAAGAAATTAAAGACAGTGACAGCAGAGCAGTAAGCAAGTATAAAGGCCCTTCTGGGTACAGCCCTGTGCAACTGCATAGGTTGCGTGCCCATGAAGCTGACCCTGGGTAACATAGGCATTTTAGGTCTCACTGCTGATGGAAGCGTCAGAGGTTTGGTAGTGTAGGGAACCAGGAGTTGTGAGAGCAACACTAATGTCTCAACATAGGGAGAGTAGAGGAAACAAGATGCAGGTAGGGTTAGCAGCAATCACTTGTAAAGATCACTAATAAATTGCCTGTGAATAGGTCATTTGCTCTTGAAACATGTGGTAATAATACTTTTATAGGACAGTTTTTTAAAAAATTAAGTTGTTTTCAAATACTTGTTTAGGAAGAAAGTCTAGGAGTGAGTTAAGTGGTGGGGGTGGCAAGCATGATTTTAAGCATTTCTTTTTTAAGGTTATCTAACTTTTCACTGATAGTCCTTTGACTTGAGTAACTTTTTACTGATAATCCTTTCGTTAGTGTTAACAATTAAAATATAAAGACACTATTGAGTTGTATACTGATTTTTTTAAAATAACTTGTTGATTCATAGAATTAATACATCCTTGAATTGTTAGATAATATATTTTGTTCATAAATTGAAAGGTGCCTTATTTATAGTACTTTAAGTGATTGAAGATAAATTTCACTGCTGGCATATTTACATTAGAAACATTGTTATGAATAGATACTAAGTTTTTTCTTCTTCTTTTTTTTTTTTTTACTTAAACTTGATTAGTTTTTGTTTTCAGAGTCCAAATCTTGCCTCTCCTAATTTTACTTTTCTAAATGTACTCATTTTTACTGTGCATTTCCTATCCCACATATGGACTCAGGTATATGAGGTTTTATTGGGCTAGAGTAGGCTGATCCTTAGGGTAAAGATAAGGGTTATAATGCTGTTCTTCCAGCCCAATTATCACACATTCCTGACCGGCAACCTCCAGTGGCGTAAAAGATTTTAGATGTTGTTTTTGAAGATAGAAAAATGACAAGAGTGTTTCAGTGTTTCAGACTGGAAAATATGAGATACTCCATAAATCTAATTACGTGACTAAACTAATAAATACTTGATAAACAGATGAAGAATCAATTGTGTTGATGATTTTGAAAATGTGCTTTAATCTTAAAAAAATATGAGTAATAATGTTTAAAATGAAGTCATTAGGTACATACTATCTCTTAAGAAAATAAAAGGTGAAAACATTTCAGGTTCTTTCTTATTAAAGACTTTGAAAGAGAAAAATATTAGGCTTAGTTCTTTCATATTCTTTAGTCTCATTATTTCTAATATCATGTTTATTAGTTTCATACAAATGAAGAGTTTCAAAATAACTTATTTTATATACACCTATATTTTATACAGATTTTCTGTATTAGTCTGTTTTCTGTTACTTATAATGGAATACCTGAAACCGGGTAATTTATAAAGAAACAGACTGTATTTCTTACAGTTTTGGAGGCTGGGAAGTCAAAGGATTGGTGGGTGCATCTGGTGAGGGCCTTCATCTTGGTGGAGACTATACAGAGTTCCGTGGCAACAGGGTAACAGATGGTGAGAATGGCAAGGATGCTTTCGTGGGCTCTCCTTATAAAGCTACCAGTCCATACCCATGATAACTCATTAATCCATTAACCCACTAATGGATTAATCCATTCATGAGGGCAGGGCCCTCATAATCTAATCAAACGCTCCACCTTTTAACACTGCCACATTGTGAATCAATCTCCCATACCTGAAATTTTGGGAGACTCATTTAACCATAACATTTACCTCTGGCCCTCAAAATTTATGCCTTCTCACATGTAAGTTCATTCCATCCCCATAGCCTTGAAGTCTTAACTTGTTCCAGCACCAGCTTAGAAGTCCAAAGTCCCATCTGTGAAATCAAAATGAATTATCTAGTTCCCAGATACAATGGTGGGACAGACATAAGACAGAAATTCTCATTCCAAAAAGTAGATAAGAGCCAAAAGGAAGGGGTAGCAAGTCCCAAACAAGTCTGAAACCCAGCAGGGCAGGCATTAAATCTTATAAAGCTGGAGGGGCCGGCTGGTTAGCTCAGTTGGTTAGTGTGGTGCTGATAACACAAAGGTCCTGGGTTTGATTTCTGTACCAGCCAACTGCCCCCGCCCCCCCCCCCAAAAAAAACCCCTTAAAGCTGAAGAGTAATCTCCCTTGACTACTTGTCCATCTTCCTCCGCACACTGGTATGGGGGTTGGGTCTCCAAGTCTTCAAGCTGCCCCACCCCTATGGCTTTCCTGGGCTAACTCCATGCTGCAGCTGTCCCAGACTGGCATTGCATGATAGTAGCTCTATAGTTCTGGGGTCTTGGTGATGGTCTCCCTCCCATGGCTCTGCTAGGCATGTCCCTGGTGGAGGCTCCCTGCTGCAACTCTGACTCCATATTTCTGCTTGGCATAGTGAAAGATCTCTGCATTGACTCCACCCCTGTGAAAAATCTCTTCCTGGGTCCCCAGAATTTTCCATACAGCCTTTGAATCTGGGTGGAGGCTGCCATGCCTCCACAGTTCTTGCATTGTGTGAACATGCAGACTTAATACCACATGGATGCTGCCAAGGCTTCTGGATTGTATCTGCCAAAGCCACAGGTCTACCAGCACCTGGGGCCTGTTTAGTCATGCTGGAGCAGCTGAAAGAGCCAGGGTGCAGGGAACAGCATCCTGAGGTGGCCCTAGGCAGCAAGCCTGTGGAGAGCAACTCGGGCCAGATCTGTGAAACCACTCTGTCTTCCTAGGCCTCTTGGGTCTGTGTTGGGAGGGCAAATCTGGAAAAATCTCTAAAATGACTTCAAGGCCTTTCTTCTATCTCTTGATGGTCTGTTCCCTCTTCTAATGTCCTTAGCAGATTGTCATTAGGCTACAATTTTGGTTTTATCTCGTGAATAGACTTTCTACTCTTTACATGGCCAGGTTGAGAGTTTTCCAGTATTTTATGCTCTGTTTTTCTTTTAATTATAAATTCTACCTTTAAGTCATCCCTTTGTTTCTCTTATTCCACTGTTTCCAGTTAAAAGTAGCCATGCATTAGCCTGAAGTTTAGATATTTCTTCCACAAGGTAACCTGGTTCATCACTCTAAAGTTCTGCATTCCATAAAACCCTTGGACATGGACACAACTCAGACAAGTTCTTTGTAACTGTAAAAAAAAGAGTGACTCTTGCTCTGATTTCCAAAACACATCCTCATTTCCGTCTAAGACCTTCTCAGAGTGGACTTTACTGTCCATATTCCTATCAGTATTCTTGTCACTACGACTTAACCAGTCTCTAAGGTGTTCCATACTTCCCCACATCTGTCTTCTTTTTTTTTTTTTTTTTTTTACCTTTTTGTCTTTTTTCGTGACCGGCAACGGGATCACAACCCTTGGTGTTGCGCCTGCACCGCACTCAACCAGTGAGCGGACCGGTCTCTATATGGGATCCGAACCCTCAGCGGGAGCGCCACACTCTACCGAGTGCGCCACCAGGCCGGCCCTCCCACATCTGTCTTCTAAGCCCTCACCAGAATCTAGGCTTTTTCTAACTTCCAAATTCTTCCAGTCTCTGCCCATTACTCTGTTCCAAAGCTGCTTCCACATTTTCAGGTATTTGTTATCAACAATAGCCCCACTTCCCAGTACCAATTTGCAGTCAATGAAAATGGTGGAAAAAAAAAATACATATATATATATGTACTTTTAAAAAGATAGTCATACTAGAGCTGGCCCGTGTCTCACTCGGGAGAGCGTGATGCTGACAACACCAAGTCAAGGGTTAAGATCCCCTTACTGGTCATCTTTAAAAAAAAAAAAAAATAGTCATACTATATTATGTGAGAAAATTAGGTTTTAGAAAATTGATATGAAATGATTTAATTAAAAGTATGTGTGTGCATGTTGTACATACATGCATGCTCACATATACTCAGAAAACAGTCTAGATGGAGAGATATATATGAAGATATTAGCAATGCTTTTCTGTGTCAAGTATGATTACAGGTGACTGTTTATTTTTTAAACTTCTCTATATTTTCAAATTTTTCTACAATAAACATGGCTATATGTATAATGAAAAGAGTTGTTATTCTTTTGTAGACATGTCCTATTTCTATTTATGTGGTCTTTGTTTATTATAATTATTATAGGTGATTATTTTGAGAATAATTTAATATTTATTACATATTTTTAAGTTTGAGATTAGGGTCATTGAAAATCTTGCATGCCAAAAAACCCTGATATTTTTGCATTTGAAAAATACCAAGAAACAGTATGTATTTGATTTAGGCCTTAATTTCAATCAATCCATTCTATCTCCATTTCTTACCAACTTATAACCCTCGATTAAGCTACTTAATCTTTTTTTTATTTGCTATAATTTCTTCATCTGTAATTGGTAATAATAATGATATCAGTAGCTCTAACATTATTTACTTTGTGGGTTAGTTGTAAAGATTAGAAATATTCTATGTTTGGTGCCTAGTACAGTGCCTGGCCTATAGTAGGCACATAATAAATTATAGATATGATTTTTTAATTATTAATTTGGTTGCTTCAAGGGAAATATTATATAGATACTACTAACTGGGTTTAAATGTTTTAAAAGATAGGATGGGTAGGTGAAGGAACTGTAATAAAAAAGGATATGGAAAAGGATGCCTACTTTAAAATGTAGATTTATTTATAATAAATGGAAAAATAAGTTGTCATGTAAATCGTGTTTGTAGATTAAAATATTTACTAAATTATAAACATTTATGTGTTTATTGAGATGTTAAGCATTTAATATGCACCACGGATCTGAGAGTTAACTCACATTTCTTACTTAGCAGTAGTAAAAGGTTGACTGTTTTCTTACAGAGTGCACAATTGAGTGAGATCATCAACAGTTTGATTGCCCCTCTCAACTTTTCCCCAACTTCATCACCCCTCTCCTCCAAATCCTGTAACCATAAATGTCTGGCTAATGGCATTTCCAGAAGGTAGGTATCATTGAGATAGTTTGGCTCTGGTTATTTATTTTTATTTTGTTTTGATCTTTTAAGTATTATAGCTGCTTTTTCCTTTATATTAAGACTACTAGAGTACTATCAATAGATCATGGATACAGTTTTAGATAACATCAAACTTATATAATTAAGGTAACTATAAACATGGGAATAAGGGAGAAAGCTTTCCAGGAAATTTTATGTTTCTAAAAAAAGAAAGAAAGCAATGGTCACACTTGCTTTAGAATAGAAGTACTGCACTATTTCCTATATCTTCCATTTTGTACCATTTGTATTCTTGCACTATCCTTGCAATGCATTCTGAGAAAAAAAAAAAAAAACCCTTGATATAGTTTGAGCATAGAAGATTGATTGATATCACCCTTAAAATGTAGCTTAAATTTTAATCACTCATTTTGTATCTTAGCTTTAAGGTAAATTTTTTTTCTGAAAATAATTAATAAAATAACTCCTATAGTCATTAGTAATTTATCTTATATATTTTATATCGCAAAAATATATATTCTATAAATCCTAATCTTTTGGGGGAACAGTATTTGTTCTATTTTTATATTGCTTACTTTTCTCTTTGAACATTTCCTTTTAAAAATGCAGTTAGAAGGCATACTAATGGAATACCATTTTGTGTGTGCATTGTCTAATTTTTTTTTCAAATAAATTTATAATGTTTGCTTCTTTAATTACCATAGAGGACTTAAGTATAATTTTGTATTGGGAAATATTTATATTGATAGTTATATGATTTATTATTTTTAACCCTTTTTAATGTAGCATAAAAGGAAAATTTATACCATGGTGAAAATTATACTAAGTAGCCATCATATACTTACTGTCTCCCTTCTTTTCAGCCACTGGCAATGACTATTCTACTTTCTGTCACTATGTATTTGACTACTCTGGCTACCTCATATAAGTTGAGTGAATTATACAATATTTGTCCTTTTGTGACTGACTTATTTCACTTAGCATAATGTCATCAAGATATATTCCTATTGTAGAATGTGTCAAAATTTCCTTCCTTTTTAAGGCCAAATAATATTCTATTTTATATATAGACTACATTTTGTTTACCCATTGGTCCATAGATAGATATTTTGGTTGCTTCCACCTTCTGGCTATTAACTGCTATTAACATGGGTGTACAAATATCTGCTCAACTTTCTGCTTTTCTTTTGGGTATTCCAGAAGTGGAATTGCTGGATCATGTGGTTATTCTATTTTTAATTTTTGTCTATTTTGAAAATGAAAAGTTATGGAATGTTGTTAATGATATTGCCAAGCCAAAAGTTTAGAGAAAACAATAACTCAGGAAGTAAGCAAAGCACAGCAATCTCCTTTTGTGTGAGGCCAAATTCAGACAAATTAAATTGAGATTTTGATAGCTCTGTGGGGAAGGAAGAGAGAAATCAAAGCCAAATCTATCAAAATAAAGCTGAAGTTTTAATAGATTGTGAGGTGAGAGGAAGATAAATCAAAGTTTGTGGCTTTATCCATGATAGGGAGATGAAATCCTCCCCATATTTAGCTGGGACCATTCTCTTTCAGGAGCTACACCATCACAGTAAAGGTAAATCAGAAATAAAACTGTTTCCTTTTCCCCACCCCTAGGGCACCATGAGGAGATTTATTTTGGGGCTGAGCAAAAGATAAAAGAAAAACTACCTTTGAGATGTTCTGACCATTGTGGGAACTTTTTCATGAATTTTCAGTCCACATTTGCATCAATAAGTGGTCCAAGGGATTCCTAGTTTTAAATGGTTCTGGGATGGTGAGGCAAATGTAGATTTTCTTTTAAGGGACCTTCCTTTTTTAGCCCAGAGAAATCATCATGAATAATTTTTCAAGGGCAGTGATCAGCATGCAGTCAAATATAATCAAACATGTAAGGAGACAGAGCAGGAGGAGTAAGAATAAGGGGAAAACAATAGACAGCAAAAATAGATCATAAAATATTCAGATACTAGAATTATCAGACTCTGATTATTAAAAAATGGTGCTTGTTCTAATTATAGAAATAAAAGACAGGTTTAAAAATATCAGGCACATTTGGAAAAAATTTAAATAAAACTTCTGAAAAAGACTGAAGTTAAAAGCTAAATAAATAGATTTTGAAGCAAAGTGGACATAATTGAAGAGAGATGTATGACACAGAGGATAGATTAGAAGAAAAGTTCCAAAATGTAGCAAAAGAAACAAAACAGTGGGAAATATGGAAGAATCATTTAAAAATGTATAGAATATAATGAGAAGGCCTAATATGACACTTAATTGTAGACCTGAAAGAAGAGATAGAGATTGGAGTGGAAGCAATATTTGAAGAAGTATTGGCTGAAAAATTACCTGAACTGAAGAAAAACAACAAATTCCAGAGGCCAAACAGATTTCTGATTAATACGAATAAAAATAAATATACCCCTAGGCATAGAGGAAATGTGAAAAAAACCAAAAACAAATGTTATATCTAAAAGCAACCAGAGCAGGGAAAGACATTATCTTAATTGGATTCATAGTTAGACTGACAGCTGACTTCTCAACAATAACAATAGGAGCCAGAGTACAATGGAATGGTACCTTCAGTATGTTGGAAAAAAATAATTGTTTACCTAGAAATTCTATATGTAGAGAAAACATCTTTGAAGTCTGACTGTGAAACACAAACATTTCCAGACAAATAGGAGAATAGACTAGTAGACTCTTAATTAATGATAACTATAAAGGATGTACTTCAGGCAGTGGAAAATGATGTTCTGGACAGAAAATTTGAGATCAAGAAGAGATGAAGAACAAACAAAATGGTAAATAATTATATGGGCATATGTAAACAGTAGTAAAATATATCTAGTGGGGTTAAAAAAAAACTCTGACAACAATAGCATATGGGTCAGAAGGAAGGTAAATGGTTTTAAATTGTAATCAGGTTCTTGAATTATTCAGGAGGCCAGTAGAAGTACTGATTTAACTTTTAATATTCCTAAATATGATACAGGAGCTCCACATGAGAGAAGGGGCTTTTAGAGTACTGATAATTCATGTATTCCTTGACCTGAGTGGGGGTTATGGGACAGTAGGGGAGTGACGGGAGGCATTGTTTCATATTTACAAGTTAAACGTAAGATATTTTATGTACTTATCTGTATGTACCTTATATTTCACAATTTTAAAAGTTAAGAAAAATAGAACAAACTATATACTTCAAAAAGGATAAATAGGAAATATAGTGGTCTTCATAGTTTTGAAAAAATATTTATTTAAATGGAATTATTATCCTAAACCTATGAGCAAAATTTGACTAGTCCCACAGGAATGTGATATTTAATTTGTTTGTAGGGAAACAAATAATTAAATCAAATTCAGCATATTACCTTAAAATTTGATGATAGGTACTGATCCAGTTATTGAGTGTGTAATCCTTGCCCTTCTTTATCTGTCAAATCTGTCTTAATCTTGTATGTCTGTTCTATCTTTTCCAGTGAAAGCGTTTATACATACCCGTGGAAAGCAAAGAGGAATAGCTAAAGAAAAGGACTAATAGCTATAGTGTATTTGTGTTGTCCCTTATGACCTGGAAAATACTCTTACATTTAGTTGTGAATTTTGAGATACATACTCTACTCAGCTGAAATATGTAAATTAATACAAATATCAGACATAATAATAGCAGAACAATAATAGAAAGTTATGGAATGTTTGTAGATATAGGCAAAAGGTATATTTAAAAATAACAGGAAATTTGGTAATTTACTATGAAAATATACATTTGTTTTATATGATCTTAAAAATCATTATGCCTAAATATTTATCTTCTCTCTGTTCAAAAAAGTTTATAAAGTCTTAACCCACACTTGACAATCATTTAGTCTCCACTCTAATCCAGCTTCTACAATCATATTATCTTAAAAGGTACATGTCCATTCTATTAAAATGTAGAATGCCAATCAGTAGATCATTGACCAAGAGTTCAAATGTACAAGAATATAGTAAACCAGATATTGGGAGACAATATATAGTTGGTTGGGAAGTAAATGAGATAACACATATAAAACTCATATAAACTTGGCACAAAAGAAATAGGCTAATAATGTTAGCCATTAATATTTTTATGTAAGAACAAAATGTATATTAAAAATTTAGATATAGTCTGTTATTCCTTTTATGTCCTGGATAGAGTAATAGTCATTGATTTAGAACTATTCTTACTCTTTTAAAAAAGGGCTTCAAAGTGGTTTCAAAGGATTTGAGGGCATAAGCATGTATCCCTTTGCATGTGCCTTTATAGACACCCAATGGGCCAGCTATTACTGACGGCATTCATCATACAGGTACTAGTAGTCACTGAGGCACTATTTTCTCATCATTTCTCTTTTGGAACATAAAAAATTGCTTTCCTGCCTTTGGTCTACCTCATTTGTATGGGACCCTGTAATTAAATCAACACTCTAAAACTCAGCATAAACACACTGTTGAGTGTTATTCTCAAAATAACTCAAATAGACCATCTTAGGTCATTTATTCTCTCCGCCCCCCCCAAGAAAGATTTTAACTTTTGCTTGTTCTTAACTAATTGTAGCGTTTTTATAATTTAGTTCTGGGATAATGTGGTTATAGAAGTATACAGTTTTTATGTGTTCTATTCATTTGAGACAGTGACTGGGCAAGTCAGCTAATCTCTTTATATCTCACTTCTTTATCTTTAAATTTGATGGGACATATTTTCTAAAGTAGTTTATAGTTCTAAAACTTTTTGATTAAATGTTTGTTTTTGAGAAATTCTATTTTTTCAAACAAACACACAATAAAAACCTAAAGGTTTTAATACAGCCTAAAGTACATATATTTTTGTAACATCACAGTTGTGCTGTTTATTGGACATAATAATTTTATGTTAGCTTAAATCAAGAGAATTTGTGAAGGAGGAATTTACTCATCATGTCTTAGTAACTTGAAAGCATACCCCAGAGGTTATTATGGAAAAA